CATTAATGTTCTGCCAAAACCTCTTGTGCCCATTCTCATGACACAACTTCTGGTGGGGACTGTTGAGCACCTTCTATCTCCTGTTGACCCAGTCTGTTTTTCAGACATCACACTGACATCTCTGTGCTTGTCCCAGCTAATTGAGGCACATGAACTGGTTTGTGATCAGAGCACAGGGTTAACCAAGCAGAAGGAAAAGGGAGAAGCCAGAGGTTCATCAGCATCTGTCGGTCCTCTGAATTGTGGTATCCCCCAATCTCTCCCCTACACCATTCTACCCCCCTTCCTTCTCATCAAGGCCGTTCCCAAGAATCCAGTTTCTCAAAAGGGCCCTCCAAAGTCTGAGTGCAGCAGGGGGAGTTCTGCCCCACTTCTCCCAACTTCACAAGGCCCTGAAACTCCATCAAGCTCATGTTACTTCACCAGGACCTTACAGGAGAAGCCAGTCTAGTATATACGTTCTCCTAAGCCATGTAGGATGCCCTTTGAACTGGGTCCAATGTCAAAAACCACACAGACAAGCCACAAAACAAACCCTCAACTTGGGCAGGACTAGACAAACTTTTAGTCCCCCCCACCCCCACCCTGCAACTCTGTGGCACTGGTTTGCAAAACTCTTGATCTCTAGAAGATGAAGCTTAGTGGTCATTTGCAAGACCAGAAAGTTTAACCCATTCTGCACTTCTACTCAATTTACTGGTTCAATTAAATCTGTGTATATAGAAACCAAGTGTGTTTCTAAACCTAAATGCATGTGGTGGCATGGCCATCATAGGAAAAAACTTTCTTTTCTGGAGATTAGTACAACAAAGTGGGCCTGAGGGCCCCTCTAAAGTGGGTATCCATATTTATTTGGAAATATTATTTTATCACGAAACACTCCAGAGACTGGTCATTAAGACTGGTTGGATGTGAGACCCTGTTCCTGAAGGGTCTAGGGATCAGTTGGGAGTGTTGCTACTGTCCCAGCCTCCCTGCCTGAGCTCCTTGACTCTGCCTCGGGGTTGGCAATTCCCCAGGCTTGTGGTCCTGGGGGATTTCAATCTGTCTTCCCTGGGAGCGGGGTCTGGGGAATTCATGGCCACCATATCAGCCATGGGCCTATCCCAGGTCATCCAGGGCCCAACAAAGGACAGTGGTCACACACCTGATCTGGTTTTCTTGTCAGAGCAGTGGCAATGTGATCTGGAGTTGGGGGAGCTCTTTGTAGCCCCCCTGTCGTGGTCAGATCATGCCCTGGTAGCCATGAGATTCTATGGCGCTGCCCCTGCCACAGGAAGGTGGGCCCTATCAGATTGATCCGCCCCCAGCGACTAATGGATCCAGAGGGGTTCCAGAGGGAACTGGGTGTATTCCTGCTGGTCTGCTCCACAGTCTGGCTGAGGTCTTGGTCATCGCTTGGAATGAGAGAGTGCCTGAGGATTTGGATCGGATCGCACCCACGCAACCTCTCCCCTCCTGTGGATCCCATCGCTCTCTGTGGTTTACAGAAGAGCCGAGGGAGATGAAATGGGAGAAGCAACGTTTAGAGCACCACTGGAGGTCAACGAGGGATGAACATGACCGAACACGGGTGAGAGCCACTATTAAGGCCTACCTTGTGGTGGTAAGGGCAGCGAAGTGACAATACTTCTCCACTGTGTCTGCAGTTAGCCACCTGGTGGCTTTGTTTAGGGTGACTCAAGCCCTCCTGGGGAAGGGGGACTTGGAAGTTCACCTACAGGGCTGTGCAGGAGAATTTGCAGAGCATCTGTTGGACAAATTTGCTCAAATTTGTTCCCAGTTAGACGCCAGCTTTGGTACAGGTACAGGTCCGGTGGAGATGCCTCGGGCACAATCTTGGCCAATTAGCTGGGAATGGTTTGAACCTGTTGGGCCTGAGGAATTGGCAGGGTCCTTAGGATTGTCAGCTTAGCCGCCTGCCACTTAGATCCTTGCCTTCCTGGCTGGTTAAGGCTGACTCCATGGTGTCGTGTGGTTGGGTTCTGCCACCCCTTAAGGAGGCTTTGGTTTACACCCTCTTTAAGAAGCCATCGCTGGCTCCTACCACACTGGACGATTTTCGTCCAGTATCTAACCTCCCTTTTTTGGGAAGGTTGTGGAGAAGGTGGTTACGTGGCAGCTTCAGTGGGCCATGGATGAAGTGGATTATTTGGACTCCTTTCAGTCAGGATTCAGGACTGGGCATGCGACGGGAACGGCATTAGTTGTGCTTTTGGGTGATCTCTGGCAGGAGTGGGACAGGGTAGTGCATCTGTCCTTGCTGTCCTTGATCTCTTGGCGGCCTTTGATACCATCAGCCATGGTATCCTTCTGGATCAGCTCCGTAGGGTGGGAGTGGGTGGCACAGCGTTGGGCTGGTTCTCTTCCTTCCTATGGGGCCAGTATTAGTCGGTGTTAATTGGAAGTAAGAGGTCCCGCACACACCTCCTACTATGTTGGGTGCCACAGGGTTCGATATTCTCTCTGCTCCTATTTAACATCTACATGAAGCCACTACGTGAGCTCATGCGTCGCCATGGAGTGAGGTATCATCAGTATGCTGAAGATACCCAATTATACATCTCCTCCCTGGCGAACTAAGCGATGCTGTTGATGCCGTCCTGGTGCCTGGAGGCTATGGGGGTCTGGATGGGGAACAACAGGTTTCTACTGAACCCTGGCAAGACTGAGTGGCCCTGGGTTTTTGGGCCTTCTGGATCTGGGACTTTACCATCTTTGGTACTGGATGGGGTGGCACTACCCCAAACAGACCTGGCGCACAAACTGGGGGTCCTCCTAGACTCACAACTCCTGCTCAAGGGGCAGGTGGCAGTCATGGCTAGGAGGGCCTTTGCACAGTGTCATGTTGTGCACAGTTGTACCCTTTCCTGGATCATGAGGTTCTACTCAGTCACTTACGCCTTGCTCACCTCCAGAGTGGATTACTGTAAGGTGCTTTACATGGGACTACCCTTGAAGAGTATCCTGAAGTTTCAACTGATACGGAGTGCGGCTGTGCAGACAGCTATGTGTGCCTCTAGGGTGGCACGCATCACACCCCTGTTCCACGAGCTGCACTGGCTCCATCTGCTTCTGGGTGCAGTTCAAGGTGCTGGCATTGACTTTTAAAGCCCTACATGGCATGGGACCAGGCTATTTGAGGGACCGCCTCTTCCTGATTGCATCTGCTTGTCCCGTTAGGCCCAGCAGGAGGGGTATGTTGCGGGTCCCATCTGCTGAAGCGTTCCGTTTGATGGGACACGGATGATGTGCCTTTTCTGCTGTGGCTCCCGCCCTCTGGAACATCATTCCCCCTGAGGTGAGGGTAACCCCATCCTTGTTAGACTTTCTGAAAGCCCTGAAAATGTAGTTTTTCCAGCAACCTTTGAGATCCCATAGGGAGCCTGCAAGATGGTAGTATTGTGCTTAAATGGTTGTTATTCTTCTGCAATCTTGCTTTTTATTTATATTATGTTTATTGTTTTAAGTGTTTTACTGGTTGTGACATTGTTTTAATTGTTGGTTGTACGCCTCCCAGAGTCACGTCCGGTGAGATGGGTGGCCATATACATTTGCTAAATAAATAAATAAATAAATAAATAAATAAATAAATAAATAAAAAGATGGTGGCGAAATGATTAAAATAAAAACAAAATGATGTTTGAGGTTTTTACACTTCTAACCAGTGAACCAGGGGCATCGGTTTAGATCATTAAAAAGGTTAATCTGTTAATTTAAGTGTACAATCTCCACTTGTACAATCCCCGTCTGTGCCTTTTCCTGGGATTTTCACTCTAAGCAGCAGAGTTGAAAAAAATGGTCTTAATGGGGATCTAAGGGAATATCATCCAGTGGATCGGTAATGTCTTTTAGTGATCTGCTGATGACTTTTTTCTTGAAAACGGGGAAGTATTGCTTTAGGTATGGCCGTGTCTGTCAGTCAATCATTATTCATACGCCTCCCCCCGCAAGGAGTAGTGGGTCCTTGGGGCCTTCTGGGCTCAGCTCTGCTTGGGACAGGCTGGTTCTCCCCTCAGGATGGCTCTCGCCTTGTCTTTGTTGGTGGAGGAACCTGGTTCTCACCACCAACCCCAGAGTGCAGGCAGAAAGGAAGCCAAGGCCAAGCCCCTTTGAGTGGCCTGAGGACCTGGCTCACATCCCCGCTGCTCTCACCTCCGTGGAAGGGAACCCACTGGTACCGCGTCTGTCCCCCCAAGATGGGTTTGCTGTTGTAGAGAGCGCACTGCATTGCCCGGAAGGGGACGGTGCCAGCTGGGCAGGCCTGCAGGAGAGAGGGCAGGGAGGGGAAGGGAGAGGATCACCGTTAGACCAAGACTGCAGAATGACAAGAAAAGCTACACCCAGGCTGGCCTCCTGGCTGCTTGCCACATTGACTGATGCATGCATGCATGCATGCATGCATGCATTCATTCATTCATTCATTCATTCACTCACTCACTCACTCACTCACTCACTCACTCACTCATTCATTCATCACATTGATGAATTGCATGCCCCAGACAAGCCAGCCCGCAGCAGCCAACAATACCAAACAAGAACACCATCACTATAATCCAGCAATCAAAATCACAGAATTTAATAAAACTTCAAAAGCACCACATAAAATCCATAAATAACCAGTGCCTAAACCAATACACAATAAAAAATGACAGGCTTCACACATCAACATATCAAATAACTGTGATATGTTTACAAAAGTCCTAGGATACATAACTCCTGGATGAGAAGGCTTGGAACTCGAAATGAGTCTTTAGCATCTTTTTAAAGCAGGCAAGTGTGTGTGTGTGTGTGTGTCTGTATGAATTCCAAAAGGCAGGTGCTGCTGAGAAAGTCCAGGGGCCAGCTGTCTAGGAGTTTTAATTTTGAAACAAGCATCCTGAATGTAATTGGAAATCCACAGGACCCCAGTGCAGCTGTGCCTACCAGAAACTCCTGATAGAAGCTGACCCCTGCATTCTGGACCCACTCTAGTTTCCAGCTGCATAGGCCACCGGGAGGCAGCACGTAACCCACTTCATCTTTATGGGGACTCTGTGAGTTCAAACTGTGCTGGAAGTTGGGCTCACAGGCTGTGGCACTTTAGAGGGCTATAAGTAGTGCTTCAATGCAAGGAGCTATCCCGGCCCTGGCGCTCAGTGATATTGCAGGATGTGTAGCGGCTGCACTGGAACAGTGTCTGCATTCCACCCTCCCGTAAGCTGTCAGAGGCACGAATGCCACTTCATGTTATGTCCCGTGTAGGAGGTTTCACGTGATGGTTAAGGGAAGGTGGAAGTGCCCTGTGGGCACCCCCACCTCTGAAACAGCCGGAGCTTCCCCTTCAGAGCTCTCAGCCATTGCAATGGTATGGTACTGGTCAGTGGGAATGACCTTGGGAGACAGGAGGAAGAGCCGCAGCCTAGGCAACTGTCATGCAAAAGGTATCTCAGCCCACGGAAGGAAAACGGATGTGGGAAGCGTGTCAGAAGGGACTCTCCCGAGTTCTCTGGAAAGTAAACGCCGGGGAGGGCGGGAGCGCTTTCAGACTTGCAAGATTCTCTTCCTGTAACCCGACAATAAAAGCCCTGTTGGTACTCAGGGTTGCTGCTTCTTGTCTGGACTACCTTGACAGTCATCCATCTCCCAGAGAAGACTAAAGGGTAACCCCCCCCGACATACCACCCCTAGGGGAACTCCCACCTTGCCCCAGCATCAGATTGCCCGCTCTCCTAACTGAAGGCCCTGAAGCCTTCTTCTCCCTGATACCCCGGGGTTAATAATCTGGAGGGGCTCCCAGTTTTGGGGGAGGGGGCCCGGGCATGAGTCAGCAGCTCCCTGCCTTGGGTCTGCGCTTGCCCTCTGCTCTCGGCCGGTGACCGCGAAGGCCACGCAGAGACCATGGGCGGTTGGGCTCCCTCCCAGACCTCTGTGGACCGCTGGGCATGCCAGTGACGGTTCCCTTGAGCATCTGGGAACTGTGGTTAAACCAGGACTGCTTTCCTTGACCCCCCTCCTCTAGGAACGACATCTGGCCAGAGCCTTCCAGCCTCTAGATTAAGCCTGCCTGCCTGCTCACCAGGTGTCAGAACAGGTGTGGGGCAGCTGAGAAGAAGGTACTCACTTTCAACTCACAGACGCGGTACTGCCTGCGCTCCGCTCTGCAGGGCTCTTCCTCAGGGAACCTGTGGCCCAAGAAAAACCCTGGTTGAGTGTTCTCTGTCAGAGCGGCAAGGCTCATTGAGTGGAGAGCCACGAGGGGAATGATCAGCACGGCAGCTGCCGCTGCCTCCCCGGCCATTGGAGATAGATGCCCTCAGTCCATGGAGGCTCTTCTCGTGGCCAATATCCATTCTACTTTCTTCCAGAACCTACCATTCTTCATCATTGTCTCCAGTCCAATCTAATGTGGGGGATTTTACGTAAGAATATAGGGAGAATAGAGTTAGGATTAGGAACGCTTTGGAGCAACAGCCAAAGGTGCTTCCCCAAGTCTTGCCAACCACTGCAGAAGATCCAAGGGATGTGACTGTTTTATTTCCATAGCTACCAGGTCACAGTCACTCATTTCCTGCACCTAGGCAAGCCAAAAGCAAAAGCGTGAAAACGTTACAGGGAGTCCTCAGGTTACAATGGCAACTGGGACTGGAATTGGAACTGGATGTGGTTGTAAAGCACGACATCATGTGACTGCATCGCTTAGCGACGGCAATCCCAGCAGTCCTGGTTGCCATTGTAGCCCCAGGACTGCAAGGGTCATTAAGTGGGAAAAGGTAGAAGTCCCAGGCAAGCAGGCCGGCGGGTGAGAGCTGCGGGTGAGAGGTATGGGTGGGTGGGTGGTTGGGTGGGTGGGGCCACAGGCAGGCACTCCAGAGCATGGCTGGGTGTATGGGTGCTGTGGGGTGGGGTGTGTGCTGCGGGCAGGTGCTATGGAGTGCGAGTGGGTGAAAAAGTGGCGGAAGCAGGAGCAACTTCCAACTTCCTGACGGCTTCCCCATTAACTTTGCTTGTGGGAAGCTGGCAAGGAATGTTGGAAATCACAATCATGTGACTGCGGCTCGCTGCGACATTGTAATCGTGAGCCGGGCACCAAGTTCCTGGATCACAATCACGTGATCGCAGGGATGCTGTGATGGCTGGAACTCTGAGGACCGGTCATAGGTCCCCCTCCTTCAGCACTGTCATAATTTTGAATGGTTGCTGAACGAGTGGTCACAACCTGAGGATTCCTGGGAAGTGGGTTGGACTAGAAGACCTCCATGGTTCCTTCCAGTTTGGTTCTATATTCTTCCCCAGGAAACAGAAGAATAGAATCACAGAATGTAAGGTTTGGAAGTTACATTGACCACCAGGTGGCACCTTGTGACAGTTTCATCCTTAGACTCTTCAAACACGAGTAGCCTGGTGTTATTCTATGGGGTTCAAACCTTCTACCAGGAATTGGACTCACAGACCTTTGCACTTTAGATGGCCATATACAGTGCATTCCCCCCTCCCCACGCCCTGCCAAGTCCTGCTATGCTGCCTCATTGTGCTGATGGTGGTGGGGACTGTTTTTGGAAGGGATGAGCAAAGAACGCAAGAAGAGTATGCCAAGAACATATATCCCCAGCAGGGCCACCCAAGGCATGACAGTCAGGCAGCAGTGATAGAGGAAGATGCCAGAGGCAGAAGACCACTTCAGTGACAATGGCAAAGGCATCAGTTCACACTGCGTGGGAGAAGGCAATGGTAAACCACTCCTGTATTTTTACCAACCCCCCCCCACATGGATAGAAAATATAAAATGATTGATGGTATAAGGTCAGATGATGGGCCTCTCAGGCTGGATGGCACTGACCATGCCACGGAGGAAGTGTGTTAGTTGGAGTGCTAATGTGTTTACGATGTGGCTAGAGTAAAGCCTTCGGGGCATCTAGTTGCTGATGTTGCCATGCAGGAAAAGAACATCCGAAATTGCAAAGACAGAATTACAAGGGAACATGGGACATAAGGAGCATGAACACGGGAAAGCTCAACACAGTGGAAGGTGAAATGAAACGACTACAGATTGGCATCTTAAGTACCAGCAAATTGAGATGGACTGGGACCTGACCTTCAGTCAGAAGATCACACTATTTACTACTCAGGACATGAAAAACAAAGAAGGAACAGAATTGCTTTCATAACCAGGGAGAGTGTAGCAAGAACAGTACTACAATGGCTACCATGCAATTAATAACCAAATAATATCAGTTTGACTTCTGGACAACCCTTTAATATGGCGATCATCAAAGTTGATGATCCAGTCCAGTCACTGATGCAGAAGAAGAGGTGGTTGATGAGTTTTATATCAAGTTCAACTGGAAATTGACTGAACATGTAAGTAAGATGTGCTATTGTGATTGGAGACAGGAATGTTAATGTTGAAAATGCTAATGAGGAAAATGTAGTTAGATTGTACAGCTTAGGAAACCAAATAAAGCAGAAAAACAACTTATCAATTTCTGCCACTCCAGTGGTTGCTTCATTGTTAACACCCAAATGACACCTGTATACATGGACATCATCAGATGGAGTACATAGAAACAACATTGACTATATTATTGCTAAAAGGAGATGGAGGAGCTCAGTTATAGCATCAAAGATATGTCCAGGTGCCGACAGTGGAACAAATCACAAACTGCTCATGTGCAAGTCACAAGTTAAGCTAAAGAGGAAGGAAGCCAACCAGTTTCCACAATATGATTTTACACATATACCCACCGTTTTCAAGGTGAGCAGCAGGAATCGCTTTGAGGTCTTGAACCTCGTTGACAGAGAACCAAAGGAATTATGGAATGAATTTAAAGAAGTTATTAAGGATGAATGTGAAAAGGGACTGCAAAAAATGAAGAAAGAGAAAACAAACTGGATGTCCAAGCAAACTGTGGAAATTGCCAAGAAGAGAAGCCAAAGCCAAGAAAAATAAAAATCTCAGGAAGGAAGTAACAAAGAGTTTCAGAGAGCTGTTAGAAGAGACAAGACACTGACAATGGCAACAGGCATGGAAGAACAAGGAACGCCTTCCAAAAGGTCTCTGAACGTAGGAGGAGGTTCCCACCTCAAATCGGTATGCTAAAGGATGCCAGTGGACGGATAGCAACTGATTCAAAGGAGATCAAATTGAGGCGGGAGGGGTAGACTGAAAGAATGCACGGCAGAGACATCAACGTCCAAGATACCTAAGAAGAACGTACAAGAACCGCTAGTCCTAGCAGATGACGTTAGATCAGCACACTCCAGTCATTACCAAGTTGGAAGGTTACAGGAATTGGTGGAAGACCCACTGAGACATGGCGCGCAACGGACACAGAATCAGTAAGGCCTCTGATCAAACTACGCCAGCAAACCTGGGGAAGGACACAGATTTTGTGGTTGCTTTATATTCTGATTTAGCATGTTCACTTTAGAATGATTTTACGCATTCGTGGTAAGGTGCTTGGGTTTTTTTTAAGGATACAGTGGCATAAATTTTCCTCGTCGTAATGAAACAAACAAACGAACGCAGACAGACGACCTAGAATAAAAGTGTGCCCCCTGCTGCCCTCAACGACTCTCTTCTTCATCGCACACTGCAGCCAAAGGTATTGACGTGATTAGTGGTGACCGCCTCTGCCAAACCCCCACTTCAGCCCCAGCCCTGCACTTGATGGGCCTTCCCTCTGAGCAGCTACATCTAAACAGGCCTTGTGCGCTCACCGGATGCACCTCCGGGTCCGGAAGGAGACGCCATCCCCGCAGGTACTGGAACAGGCACTCCAGCTGCCCCAGTGTGTCCACGTCCCGTGGGCTGGCTGGTGTCGGTGCTGGGGCTCTGATGCCTGGTCAAGGTGCAGGGTGCCGTGGTTTCTCCCCTACTTAAAAGAAGATGTCAAAGTTACCACTGCCTGGGCAGGCACCAGCCCCGGTACCGTTCAGCACAACCTCCACAAGGGCGCGCGAGCGTCACCCCTAACTTTGCCCCATTTCGGCCTGCTGAGCAAATAAGGTTCTCTCCCCCCTCTGGCTCGGACTGCGTGGGGGTCTTCTCCTCCAAGCCATCCTGAGGCGACCTCTTCGCCATTAGGACTGTGCCCAGCTAGCCTTTTGCAGTGTGTGTGAGTGTGAGTGAAGGCTGTGGAGGTGGGAGTGTGCGTGTGTGCAGACGAACAG